GGGCAATTCCCCCCGGATGGGGGTTTGATTGCCGAAAAGCCGGACATGTCCGGGAAAAACCGGACGTATGGTAACCCTAGTAAAATAAAAGACGTTCCTGTTTTCCAGCGCCTGTATTTGAGATGTGCTGTGGCACCTCTGCCAATGCAGGAGTCGTGGAAAGCCAGAGAAATCAGAGTGCTTGTGGTGAAGAGAAGAATCTGCATATATTTTTTAGCAGTCTTGTCTGAGAAACATGAGACTGTTTCCAGTGGGGAAACTGAAGCTGTAATTAATTTGCTGATGAGCATATATTCAAACTGTTTGGCATTATAAAATATGCATTTGAAAGCGACCTCCTCCTGGGGTTAAGTAGTTAAGAATCCCAGCGTTATTTCCAGGGAGCTGATTGATGAAACCGCACATTTGACAACTTGATGCTCCACTTTCAATAACTGAAAGCCTCTGAGATTATTGACTTTTCAGGCTGTCTCCAAGTCCCACAGCTACAGTAGGAGCACCACTATATTGCATTCTCCGTTTATCGATAACGATTGGAACTCTTGTCTAATGCCCACAAACCCGAGGGACTGCTGTCAGATCTACTGCATTGTTTGATGAGCAAGGTGCTTGGAGTCTGAGAGGTATTTTCAGTGGCAGGTGCAGCTGCTTCTCCTTGGAGTTGACAAAGGACCATCAATGACAGTGTCTAAGAAACAGGAATGTAACTTGTAGCTAGGTGGATAATTTTTTGGCAAATAAATCTTCAGGTACTGGATTTATTTGGGGGGCGGGCAGGGCTTATTCTGACACATTTCCTCCCTCTGTGTATTGTAGTGTGGGAAAACTCTCCCAAAGAAGCCCGTAGATATTTCCATCTGTTAAAGGAGAGGGGAGGGAGAGATGATGAACTGGCTTATGAAATGGTTAATCCAGTAGCCTTCCGCTGCTCAGACCTAGGTTCAAAACCAGGCCGAGTCACATGAAAGACTGAAGCCTAGGCATTTGGATTTATCACAACCCATTGCAGAGACTAGGGGGAGGAGGAAGCATTGGAACAGCAGCCGCCCACTCTGTGCCTGGTGTGGACCAATGCTGTAGTCACTAATTTCCAGCAATCCTAAATTCATCCCAAACTTCAGGGTAAAACAACTGTTTGATTTTTAAAATGCACACAGTGAATCTATCTGTGGTATTTATCTGGGCGCCCCTCACCTGAGTATCAGAGCACCTGACAATCGAATACATTTGTCCTCCCAACATCCTTCTGAGGTAGGGAACCCATCTGAATCTAGCTAGGGCTCTGCCTAGAAAAGGTAGCATAGGAAGTGAGTGTCCAGTAGTTCATCAGGGAGCCTGATTATTATGGCACATACCTTGTTCATTAAACAGGAAAGTGCTATAAAAAGCACTCTAACAACTTTTATCGCTCTACAATAAAGCTGAGTCCTACACCCGAGGGACAGAAGGAGCTTGGGGAACGGTGGAGAGAGAAAGCTCTTCTTTCTGAGCCATGTGAACAAGCAGAGGCCAGGCATAAAACCCAACGAGGGCGGTTCCATTGATTGCCACACTGGGTACATTAGGAAAATCTGATGCTATACTAAGAAGACTGTAGAGAAGTGACCACAAACGCTGTTTTTTCTGTATCTGCTTCAGCTTCCACTGGTTAACTACAGTGAGTATCGAGATTATACTGACCGTACCGTAGCTCTCCAGCACCCAGCAGTATGTATCTGTTAAACATTGTCTTCTGTACAGCTGAGGATATAGCCACATCTGGGTTAAAAAGCAATATTCCTAAAGGTGTTGTTTCAGAACCTTTGCCAGCTTTCAGCAGGGAAGGTGGGTGTGAAGAATCCAAGGCTCGGCTGCTCTTTTGCTACTTTTCAGGCCCTTCTGCTTTAAATCACTGTCAGGGTAGGGTTTTCTTTGCTTCCTTCTGTGGTAAACCGGGAGAGCTGGATTTACATTGAAATTCTCAGGCCATTTAGAAAGCCCTGTGCAGATATATAAACAAATGTATCCTTTATTAGCATGTTTCTTTTACGAGGCTGGAACAATGAAGAACTCTGCATGCTGAAAGAACGTCACCTCTAGCTGTCCTCAGCTTTAAATTATCTGAGGGTTTTTCCCCCTTTTTTTTAAACTGATCCAATAACAGCAGAAATCCTAATGCTAAACCAGGGGGTAACAATTCTCCATTTCGCTTGACTGGAGTCTTCACACAGCCACAAACTTTAGGCTACTACTGAAATTTTTCTTACAAAAATAGAAGAGGAAAGAGGAAATCTGCTAGGCCCATTCTGCACGGCGTTGAAAGCCTTGAATCCTGAATATCTGAAATGTATAGTAACGGGCACAGCAAAGTATATATTGACCCCTTTGCAGCAGTTAAGAATATTTTATTCCTGCAATGAGTTGTTGCTGAAAGGTTCTATCAGGGCTTCGTTTGCACTTTAATGTCAATCACTGTATAAGTGGGTAATAGAATAGGAGGAGTAACACTTTAAAGGGGCTCTAGGAATCCGAAATGTTAATCCAGAGAAAACAGCAACCATGCTTTAGCCCAGGGGTCTCAAACTCTGATGACCACGAGGGCCGCATGAGGACTAGTGCATTGGCCCAAGGGCCGCATCACTGACACACCCCACTTGCTGCCTCTGGCCCCGCCCCCACTCCACCCCTTCCATGAGGCCCCGCCTCTTCTCGCCCCTTCCCTGGCCCCATTCCAACCCTTTCCCTGAAGTCCTCACCCCAACTCTGCCCCCTCCCTGCCCCCAGGGGGCGCAGGAGGAGTGTGGGGTGTGGCAGGGGCTCAGGGCAGGGAGTTGAGGTGCAGGAGGTGTGCAGGGTACGGCAGGGAATTGGGGTGTGGAGTGCAAGAAGTGTGCAGGGTGCGGCGGGGGCTCAGGGCAGGGAGTCGGGGTGTGGGAGGGGTGCGGCAGAGGGTTGGGGTGCAGTGTGTGGCAAGGGGCTCCAGGCAGGGGGTTGGGTTGCAGGAGGGGTGAGGGGTGCAGGGTGTGGCAGGGGGCTCAGGGCAGGGAGTTGCAGTGCAGGAGGGGTGTGGGATGCAGCAGGGGGCTCCGGGCAGAGGGTTGGGGTGCAGAAGGGGTGTGGGGTACGGGCTCTGGCCTGGCACCGCTTACCTAGAGCGGATCCGGGGTGGCAGCGCTGCGCACCGTGGCCAGGGCAGGCTCCCTGCCTGCCTGCCCTGTCCCTGGCCCCGCTCCGCTCCACTCCAGGAAGCAGCCTGCCCTGCCCCCCCCCCCTCCCCAAGCACTGCTTTACCGCGTTATATCCAAATTCATGTTATATCGGGTCACGTTATATCGGGGTAGAGGTGTACTGTCACTGGGCTGTAAAAGTTCAGACTGATTTTGCCACTGCAGGCCAGTCTGTGTGTTACAATAGTAAGAACAATAATGAGACACTAAGAACTTTCTATCTAAGGCCCCAAGTAACTTGATACTTAAGCATTTGTCTTGCATTCATCTTTTTATCCTTTTAACCTCCCTCCCTTCAGCTCGATAACATCAAGAATGTTACTGATGCCTCTCTGTTCCTTTTTACCTCCAGCACACTGTCACTGCATCCCAATCCCAGATAGCCGTCTGTTCACTTGCGCTGAAGTTTGCTGTTTGTGCTTGTTATCGCTTATCTTTAGGCCATGGAGAGTGTCACTGTGGGGAGTGCAAGTGCCATGCTGGTTACATCGGAGACAACTGCAACTGCTCGACGGAGACTAACCGTTGCATTTCGAATGACAGTCAGATGTGCAGCGGCAGAGGCAACTGTGTCTGTGGGAAATGCCAATGCACCGAGCCCGGAGCCTTTGGAGAGACATGCGAGAAATGTCCTACCTGCCCAGGTGCCTGCAGCACTAAAAGGTACCTCACCAACCGTGCCCATGAATGGCTCACTCTGCCTCATGAAGGGAAATTGTGTTTGATTTCAGAAGTCCTTCAAATAAGGGGCCTCTATCACTGCTTCAGGTTGGACTGGCTGCCTGAGGGTAGGCCTTCACTGCAGAGATGGCACCTGGCTTAGCCTAGCCCAGGTGTGAGCAGTGTCTGCCCTGTATTCCCCCATGTGTGTGTCACTAGGACGTCTGGGGGTTCCCGTGGTCCTTTGTGAGTCTTTTCCAATTAATTGTGGGAGAATTTGCCTGTCCTTTTGGGCACACACAGGGAATTATGGGAAGGCACTGGGGGATTGTTAGTATGTGGCTGGAGGTGTCCAGATGCCTCTCTGGGAAATTTTCCTGCAAACCAGTCTGAGCCTGGCAGAAAGTGACCAATACAGGTCATTTCATGCCTTGTTCTAATGTGGGTTCTACTGGGTAATTACTGGCAGCCAGATCCGCTTCATTTCAATGCATCTTGCTGTGTAGTACGGAGACAGCACTAGGATGCCAGGGAATGGTTATGATTTAAGAGATTGAAAATACAATGGAAAAGCCACTTTGATCATTTAAATGCTTGTAGCCCCACAACAAATATTTATGGTGTCTGTCTTTTCTGCTTTCAGCCATTTCCGAGATGGTCCCACATAAGAAATCTAGATCCCCAAATGCCTGAAATGAGAGAACATTCAGGGCTGGATCCAAATTTAACAGCCAACATCCATCTCTGTAGCGGGTTATACCAAAGTTCCAAATACAAACGCACCCAGACAACCAGGGAACTTCGCAATTCAGCCCCACCTCCAGGGTTAATCTGTCCTTAATTTGGAGACGCTTGGCCAAAAGGTTTCTATTTCTTTTATGATGCAGATGTGTGACTCTGTGTGGGGGCGTGCACAAAGGGGGCAAGCAGGGGCACCCCCCCCCCAATAGCTGGTGGGGGATGCAAAACTTCTGCTCCTGGGCTGTGTCGAGGAGATCTCCCTCCGCGGCCCAGGAGAAGGGGGAGTTTGCTGTCTCCCCCAACCAGAGGAGTTCTGTGCCCCCACACAATCCACCTCCCCCCAGGCAGTAACATTTAAATTCCTGCGCATGCCCCTGACTGTGGATTAACAGGTCAAGATTCCCTTTGGCAAACAGTTTGTGTGGCAGGTCTGAATGTTCCTGTGGTTTCAAAGATGTTTAGTCTTTCTCTTTGTGTCTCCCTCCTGAAGGGACTGCATTGAGTGCATGTTACATAACTCAGGAGGACTGGCTGATAACCAAACCTGCCCAAAACACTGCAAGGATGAGATCATTACACGTGTGGATGTCCTCAGTAAGTAATGTACAGCAGAATCATATGGGAACTTCAGGCATGAGGCTGTTGCAACTGGCTAGATTTAACTGGTCTTTGCAAAGAATTGTATTTACCCTGATTGGCATCGAAGCTTTTCCATAAAGTAGGTCACAAATAAAAATCTGGATTTAGAAAGGCTAATCCATTTTCCTACCTCCAGGTTATAATCTCTTCACGGTTACAACATACACCCCACATCCAACTATTTACCATATGCTGGGTTTATTCTCTTATCCATATCAGCTACACATAACACTTATAATCTTGACACAGTAAATGTGACTAGATTCAGATTAGATCTGGAATTCAGAATCTAAACACTACATTTCAATTCACGTGGTACGTTATGAGCATGCAACTGATTTGTTTTTAAAAGTAAAATCAACCAGTTTTCTACCTAATCTCTTAATAGTGAAGAACCATTTTTGTTAATCAAATAGGTTTCTCTGTTTGGTTTTAATATGTATCTCTTCCAGATATTTACATAAGTCATACTGGTTGCACTTTTGCTGTCAGCTTTCTTTTTGAGGATTGCTGCTATGTTGGCTCTATCTTCTGAATCAACGTTTTATTAAGTAAAATTTCATACTCAATTAATTGCCTTGTGGGAGTCTACACTCTTTCTTCCCTCTAGAAGGTCTTAGAGCTACCCCTAGATTTTTCTCTGCTTTGTTACAGAGGCAGGAGTAAATGAGAGAGTTTATGACGACAGGGACAATGCAAAACTCGCATGCCTGGTTACATTGTGATCCATAGAGTTAATAGGAAGCTGTCTTGGTTAAGTGATGCACCCATACCAGTCTGCACTGCCAAAACTTGCCAAGATCCCAGTCAAATAAATCCTTCAGCAGGAGAAATTAATCATGATTCAGAAGCTTTGGCCATGTAATGAAGCAAAAATTACTTTAAAAGATATTTTTATATACATCATACCAAGGATGTCTAGGCCCGTTATAGATAGGTAAGAAGACAAGATCCTTGCCCTGAAGAACTCTTAACAGACAGCAATATTTAGGGCAGCCATGAAGTTACACTGTCCAGGGCTACCCTAGTGCACAAATGACCTAGGAGTAAAGAATATGAAGACCACCTGAGTTGTGTTATGTGCTTTTTGGCTATAGTTAATACAGGAAGTAAGGGGAACAGGATGCAACCCAATGGAAAGTGATTGAGCAGGAAGAGTTAGCAAGTATCTTGTTAGAGCAGCATTTTTTGTGTTTGTTTTTTTTTCTGGCACACTCCCTCCTTGTGTCTGTAACATGAACACTTCATCGAGGTGGGATGTTTTCTAGGCCTCTTGGAAGAAGTGAGCTTTAAGGGAGGGGCTTGGCATAGAAAGATGAGGACATTGGGGTGGAATGGACGGCCTTTTCTGAATGAGCAGATAAATTAAGTCGTCTCTAACCTTTCACATTTGTAACTTTTTTCACTGTTCTTTCCCCCCCTACCCCGCTCGTAGAATCAGCAATTTGTGGTGAAAATCTGATAGGTAACCTTGTCCTTTTCCAGCTTCCTCCCAATCTGCCATCTGGGGTCTATTTCCTTCTCACATGCTTTGAGCTAGTTTTAAACAATGTGAGCAGTGGGGTTCCTACCTTTTCCCATATTATTTCCAGCCTTGTTACAAGCACCAAGAGATTCAAACAGTGGGTCTGTGACACCACATTTAATAACAGCTCACTGCAAAAGCTGCAAGGTCATCAGGCCACTTTAAATCCCTCCAGCCTCTTCACAGAAAGCTTCACAAAAAGCTACTTTCACGTGACTAGTCTGGTATCTGTTTGAAGGCTGAAAATGCAGGGGTGTAGGTTGAAGTTCCACTCTCATGCCTAAGTCTTGCAACACATATGGCCACATTTTTGTGCTGACTTGCACCCTGTGAGATGGCGCTGGGTAGAAGCACAGAATCATGCCTGTGGTTTGCAAGCTCCCCTGCTGTTTTGGAAGATGGGGCAGGGGAACTAACAGCCAAGGTTTAGTTTTAAACTTTCTTGTTTTGGCCGGGAGCTTGTTTTTTTTTTTTTTTTTTTTTTTTTTTTTTTTTCAAGTACTAGAAGATCTGAAGCCTGTTAAGACTGAGACCAAAACCTGGCTGACAGTATATTCACGCTATATAGTGCACATTACAGATGCTGGTTAAAGGCTGGAATGTTGAGATTTACTTACACTAGTGTTGTTAACATGGATGCAGCTGTATCACTGCACGGTTAGCAGCAGTTACTGTAACGGAGGGGTAATCATTTCTCTAGTGAGGCCAGGTCGAAGTCAGAAAGGAAAAGGGAGACAGAGGAAATGCAGAAGGACGAAAAATAATAGGGTGAAGTAACAGGCTCATAAATGTGATCATTTTCCCACTGATACTGAATCTGAGTAAGGCACTCAGCAGCTACCACTAACAATGGTAACTGTGGCCTGGATTTTCAAGGTGCCTAAGCAAGTTAGCTGTCCTGCTCTCATTTCAAATTAATGGGATGTGGGTGTCTAACTCCCTTAGGCTCATTTGCAAATCCCAGCCTACAAGCTTAGTCGGTACACAAAGGCCGTATTCTCCCCTTGATGATGGTGCAAACGTCGCACTGACCCCAGTGGGGATTGAGGGGGAACCGTGAATACTCTGCAATTTGTACCCCAGCTCACCGATCTTAATTATACATGGAATTCAGCCCTCTGCTTTAAACGCTACAAAGCTCTACTTGGAACTGAGACTGGCCGGGGCAGCACATTTGAAATCAAACTGATTGTTTTGCACCCACATTATAACTTCCCTGCAATGACAAGATGTCCGAAGAAACCACGGACAGACCTTTTAGTTACAACAGCAGCAGTAGCACAAACAGCCTGCTCTGTCTTCTATGGTACATTAAAAAAACAAACAAATTCCTACTTCAAACAAGTCTTCTAATTTCCTGCCACTCCTCCACTTTCACCTTTTCTCCCTCAATTTATTCCTCTCCCCCCACTCCCCACTTCCGTCTCGGTCTTGAAAAAATAAACCTCCTGATTATTTCCGGAGATAAAACAATTCAGCACATTTGGAATGCAAGTCGAGCGATGGATTGTGGTTTTAATAACATCCTCATTTATGTCAACAGTTCACTGCTTTCCTCATAAAATGGACCGATATCCATCACTTTATCCACAGCTTTCCAAATTGAAGAGCAAGGGAAAGGAAAAGAAAAATGGCTGCCTTTTTGAACTGCATAGGATGGTACTGTCGAAAGACAAGCTCATGTCAGCTTTTATATTTGCCCTGAGTATCTTACTGTTACATGCATCACTGAGTGCAAGTTTAACTTCTTCAAAATGTTCGTGTGCATGATCGTTAATTATTACTTGTGTTACGCTAGTGCCTAGAAATCCCAGCCAAAGCACTGTAGAAACACCCAGGGTATGTTTGCTTTGCAGTCAGAGGTGTGATTGCAGCTTGGGATACGCGTCCTGCCTTTAATCTAGCTAACATGGCTAAAAAGAGTGAATGGTGGCCGAGGCATCAGCATGGCTGTACAAGCCTGCCTGGAACCCTGGGTATATACTCGTGTTCCTAGCCATGCGGGGGTCTGTGCCTCTGCATCTTCACTGCTGCTTTTTAGCCACACTAGCTAGATTAAAGCTAGCATGGGCATGCCTACTCGAGCTGCAATCACACCTCTGATTTGCAGGGTGAACATACCCATAGTGAGATCTTCAGGGCAAGGACCATCTCTTACAGCCTAAATAGGGCAAAAGCTGGGAGGGGAAGTGCCTTGCCCAAAGTCATGCAGTAGGTAGGGGATTAGAACCCCATTTTCCTGATGCTCAAGCTGGTGCTGTGCCCACCAGACCACATTGGCTCCTTGATGTGGTGATCTGGGTATCTGTAGAGTGCCCGTCGCTGAAGGATGTCGGTACTGAGTATTTTCATCTTTCCAGATCTTCATGTTTGCTAGTGCTCTGTTGTTGTTCTATTTAAACCTCAATCTTCCCCACAAATCATAATCACGTTGCGCTCATTTCCAGGCTCTCTTTGTTTTGTATTTTCTCCCGACTCCTCCAGTATGTGAAGGGAAGTGCTGCTGAACTTGCAAAGGGATTTTTCAAAGGTTCTGATTTGCTTGACCTTCTTTCAGAGACCCATATTAATTTCTCTCTTTGTATGAAGTAGGGTAAACCCACCCAGACATTTCCTTCACTGCCATTTACTTGTATTCATAGAAGAGTGTCCAGATGATAGATACAAAGCTAAGGTACCGTGGTTGGGTTGTGGGGTTTTTTTCTTCCCTCTAGTGTTAATGGTTTCTTGTATTTCAGCTGTTTGAATTGTTCCGTAATGTGCACCATATGTACCAACAGGAAGCTCCTCGTATTTAAAGGAATTCAAAGTCCCCAGAGTTATAGAATTCCAGAAAACACATCCAGCTCTGAGGCCAGATCTTTGAATGGTAGAGGCTTTTCTTCCTGCAGAAAGAAAACAGCTGAACAACAAATGTCTGAACATTATACCACCGTGTGGAGATGCCATACCACCAAATGCTACAGAATGTCTTCACTGTTTAACGTGTGTTTGAGATTCACTGGGCTATCTTACACGCTAACAGAACCTCAGGAATGTTCTTCATTTCGTTCCAGAAACAGATGACCAGCACTCGGTCCTGTGTGTCTACCCCATGAATGACTGTGTGATGAAGTTCACCTACTCGGAACTTCCCAGTGGAAAGTCCAATCTCACCGTCCTCAAAAAGCCAGGTTGTTTCTGCATTTATTTTTTGTTTTGATATAAGATGCCAGCTCCTGAGAGGTGCCAGGCTGCTGCTAAATAAGTCTGTTCGTCAGAAAGGCTAAGTGCTCTCCAGTAATTGCGGCCTTAGCAGATTCTGGGTAAGGAGAAAGCTTGGAGCCCTCCTTCGATACAGGCTTTTAAGGAAACTAAGATCAATGTTTGGGGAAACTGAGTCTGGGCTGACCTTACCGTTTATGGAACTCTAAACTGGGTTAGATGGGGAGCGGAAAATCAGGATGTCAGTACCGCCGCCTCTGGTCCTAAGCCCATATATCTCTACTGTCCCACATAAGGCCATTTTCCAGGTCCTGCAGTTAAATTCTCCCACAGTAGGGAGGCTGTTACAACATAAATCTGTCACAAGGCCACCAAGATGGGGTAGAGAGAGGCTCTATGGTAGCATTGTGTGTGCGTGCTGCCTTGTTTCTGCCTGTCCCTAAACATAGTGTCAGCCTCCTTGTGACATGATGGGGTGTGTTTTTGAACTGGGGTAGCAGGGGTACTCGGAAGATATGGCACCAAAAGGAAGAGTGAGGTGGGTTCTGGGAGAGACACCACTGAGGAGAGGGAGGAGTCTGAGAGGGCACACGTGACAGAGTTCCCTCCCAAATGTGAAACAGAGCACGAGACAGTGGAGGGAAAGGGGAGACACAGCAGTGGGGGACAGTTGAGGAGCACTGAAGAGTCACAATCATTTTGGGAAAGTGACTCCATTGTGGTATCAGAGTGGAGGTGAGGTGAGTCACTTCAGTCTCTTGTTCCACATTGGGGCGGGGGGGCGGGGGGGAGGGTGGAGAGGCAGGAAATTGGTGCAACCTGTCAGCCGAGCTGGCACAAAGCCCCTAACTGTGTGGGTCCCCAAACAGCTGCTTGAACTGGTTGGGCTGAAAGCCAGTCCTGAAGAGAGCAAAGGAATCTGGATGATTTAAAATGCATTGACTAGAGCAGGGGTGGGCAAACTTTTTGGCCTGAGGGCCCCATCAGGGTTCCGAAACTATATGGAGGGGCAGGTAGGGAAGGCTGTTCCTCCCCAAACAGCCTGGCCCCCGCCCCCTATCTGCTCCCTCCCACTTCCCGCCTCCTGACTGCCCCCCTCAGAACCCTCCACCCATCCAACCCCCC